ACGCCGCTCCTGGAACACCGGCCCCGCCCCACACCAAGGCCCCGCTCACGACCCTCGCCACGCCCACTACACCGACCACGCCCACAAACAGCGCCACGCCCACCATCGGCCCCGCCCACGACACCGCGCCCCAAAGCCCCGCCCACTCCGCGTTGCCCGGAGACCCGAGGCCAACGCGAGCCGCTGTCTCCCGGCTCAGTCCCGCGTGGGGACGATGCCGAGGCTGGAAACGGCCGCGTCCACGGCCCCCGGGGCTCACAGAGGGTGCAGTCCGCCACCCCGATCTCCTAGAGGTGGAGGGCCAAGGAAAGGCAGGCCCTCAGGGCGGGTAGTGGCCGACCAACGCGTGGCTTATTGGAAAGGCGTGTGGTCAGCACTCAGGGGAGAGGTGGAGACCGCCGGGGTTCCGTCAGTCCGCAGGCGGCACGGTCCGGGGTCCCCCTGCCCGGGAGGCGCAGGCCGGGCCGCTGGGGGGCGTGCCCCACGCGGGCCGACCGAAGGAAATGGGGATCGCCACTAAGCGTGGTCTTGCACGGCCCGGACAACCAGAGCGCAGGAAAGAGGAGCGAAATGCAACCCCCGCGCGGCCCCGGGCTGGCGCTGTACACGGTGGACCGATCGCAGTGCCTTCTTCCAGGGAAAACAAGAACACAGCAACCCAGACAAACACGGTGTGTGGAACAATGAAAGACGGTGTTTGTAGATGCACTTAGTGGAGGGAACTATGAAAAAAAGAACAGAAAAGGGTCAGCGCTGCTGCAGTGGGCGTGTGGCTGCTCTGGCAGCTCGGGGAGACTGTGGGGAAGAAGGCTAGACGGTTTGATCTTAAGCACAGCTACCCACGTGTTCATTGCACAAGATGTCATTAAGGTGGACAGTTATATATGTATAGGTTAATTCACTATCGTAAGATTTTTTATGACGAGCAAAGAGAGCTGGGTGCAATGACTCCCACACATGTAATCCTAGCTTCTCAGCAGGCTGAGGTCTGAGGGTCGTGGTTGGAAGTCAGCTGGGACAGGAATGTTTATAAGACTCCCATCTCCAATGGAACACTAGTCTTGAGAGAAAAAGCGAAGGGACAGCACCCAGACCTTGAGTTCAAGAAAAAAGAAGAGGAGGAGCAAATCATTGGGAATTATATGCACATTATGACATCATTAAAAGCACAAGAATGCTTCCATACCAGTTGCTTCTGGAATGATAAGACACACAGAACATTTCCTCACTACTCCCTTGGTCATTTTCTTTCTGATTTTCAGTAGTGTTGGATGTAAACAACACCCTTTCGGTGGCAAGGACCCTTGCCTGATATGGCAGAACACGGGGGAATCTGCAATTCTTAAGCTCTGAGCAGGGACCCTCAGAGCTAGAATCCAGGCCGCTGAGGAGTGTGAGAGCCCAGGCCTGGGGCCGCTGTGTCCTTGAAAACAGTCTGAAGGTGCTGGTTCTGGGAGTGTTAGAAAAACTGAAATCAGTTGCAGCTAGGAACCAAATTTCGCTGCTGGGATGAGGAAGCATTGCCAAGGGACCCTGAGAGGAGTGGGAAGCAGAGGAAGGAGCAAGCCCTTCTCCTTCCCAGGCCTCACTGTCTCCCTCTACTGCCCCCCACTGGCAGAGCCGGCTGGCGCAGGCGAAGGAGGCCGAGCTCAGTCTGTCAGCCCCGGAGGAGCATGTGTTTAAAGCAGAGATTGTAGTTTAGTCAGTGATGCTGTCATGCTCTGTTCTTTAGCATCCTGGCAGGGTAGAGAGAGTGCACAGAAAAAGCTATCAAGAGCTTTGTTTCCACCTGATGTCATGGAAATACCAGATACTTTACATATGAATAGCACCTCTCAGGATTTGCAGAATGCTTTTGCATATATTATGTGTTGGGAGTTCAGCCTGACCCTGATTTAACACAAACACACAAAAGAATGAGGAAAAGCTTTGTTTTTTAAACAACAACCATAAAAACACATAGGTTAGTCCTACAGGCTCACACCTGTAAGCCTAGCTACTCAGGAGGCTGAGAGGTGCGGATCTGGGGTCCAAGTCAGCCTAGGCAGGAAAGTATGTGAAATTCTTACCTACAACTAACTACCAAAAAGCTGGAAGTGGAGCTGTGGCTCAAATGGTAGAGCTCCCACCTCGAGCAAAAAAGTGTGAAAGGCAGTGCCCAGGCCCTGAGTTCAAGCCCCAGTGGCCTAGTATCCAAAACAACAACAAAACAGCCTTACTGAGAATAATTTTTCATGTCACACAATTTGCTCTTTCACATTACATAACCTCCACCCCCCATTACTCAAAGCTGCTTATTAGATAAATATCTACTGAATTAATAAACAGTAACAAAAAGACATAAGTGGCACGCAGTACATGGGTGAGGTCGTGTAACCATTCCTGTGGGATCGGTCCTCTCCGCCTCCTGGGCGCCAGTGAACACCGGTCTTCATCTCCATTCCCGGCGACCTTCAGGCCTTGGCAACTGCTAATCTTGCTCCCGTTGCCAGGGACTCGCCAGTACAATAGAAATGTCCAGATTTCAACTTAAATCTCAAAGGGTCAAGTCTCTAACATATGCAAGATGCGTTAAAATGAAGAAGAAAGATCATGGAAAAAGACAGGAAAAAATACAGCTCTTAAAGTTGTTAACAGTAAAAAAAGAAGGAAAAGTTAACAAAATTACAGTTACACTAAAATATGAGTTCCTGCTTATCACTAGTAAAATTTCCAAATATTTTTTTCCTAGCATCTTTTTTAAAAAAAGCTTTCATCTTTTCTATTTGTCTTTGAAGTTTTTGGATTTTATTTTCTATGAAAAGCTTATTTTATGTCCTTGAAATGACTATCGAGCCCAGGCTGCCCTTCAACTCACAGCCCTTCTTCTCAAGTGCTGGGACTACGGGTGTGTATCACTATGCCTAGCGTATGCTCTACTAATTTTGAAGTTAAAAATTCAGCATATGCAATGATCAGGCAATTCTCAATAAATAAATCCAGTCACCCTGAGGCTGGTCCAGGTGGAGGAAAGAAACACTACCATTGTTTACATACTTATGCAAGAATACTATCCACTTATTACTATGAATGCATTTTAACCCACATGCTAATCCTGTGTGGTGAGGGGCGTTATTCTCATTTTACAAATGAGGAAACTGAGAGGTTATTCTGTGAACAAGACCAACACAACTCAATCAGGGAGGAAAACCACTGTTGTGCGTAGTTTGTATATGTGTTTTACGTTTGTATTTTTGCAAAGTGGGGTAACAGGTTGAAATTTGGGTCTGGATCTCTAGGCTTACTGGTCTCCCTCACACAATGTGTGAAGGGAAGTTACATATAGCTTGTCACTACTGGGAATTTTCCTTTTTCTACGGGGACACACTTTGTCCCACAAATCAAAACCTAATTCAAATCTGTTTCCTGTCTGAACTAAAAATTGTGGCCTCGTTGAGCATGGTGGTACAGACCTGTAATCTCAGCAATCAAGAGCTAGCAACAGGAGGGTTGCATGATGGAGACCTGCTTTGGTCACAGCAAGTCTGAAGCCAGCCGGAGCTACGTGGGGAGACGCTGTTACCAAAATAGATAAAATGGGGGCTGGGAAGATGGCTCAGTGGTAGAGCGCTTGCCTTGCATGCCTGAGACCCTGGGTTCGATTCCTCAGCACCACATAAGCAAAAAGAAAAAAGCCGGAAGTGGCGCTGTGGCTCAAGTGGTAGAGCACTAGCCTTGAGCTGAAGAGCTGAGGGCCAGCGCCCAGGCCCAGAGTTCAGGCCCCACGACTGGACCCCCCAAAAAAACCAAAACAAAAACCAAGAGCTGCTCTGTTTTGTGCTGCTCACTTGTCTTTGGGTCACAGTGTCTGGAGAGACACAACCCACATGACTCGAAGGCCAGTGGTTATGAGGGTGACCAGTCGCCTGGATTGTCTAGCTTGTGCAGCCGTGTGTGGGAATGGTGGTCCAGCGGATGGCGTGGCTCCCCGCTCACCCCTTTTCCAGATGACGTGGGCCTTGCGCAGCTTCATGATGAAGAGCTGGACGATGACGAAGAGGATGAAGATGAGGAGAGACACAAGGCTGAGCAGCAGAATCCCACTTTTTCTCCGCATCAGCCCCGCCTGCTGAGGGTCTGTCTCTGGAGGGAGAATGGGGAGGCTCTGGTGAGGACATGTACTACACAGCCGCGCTCGGTCGGGCTCAGACATGGCCCTTGGGAAGGAAAGGGCCAGAGGTCACTCCTCCAAGTCCCTTCTCTGAAAACGAGATAAGCATAGAAACAACCAAAGCGAGAACCTTGGCAGAAAAAAATCGAAAAGGCTATTTTTCTAATGATAGAGATATGAAAGCCGTTATTATTCATTGCTAGAGAAAGCATGAATATTGAATCATAAATACTCAGTTATAGTCAGGGGATCCAAGTTAGCTGTAAGCCATGCCTTTTAGCAACATGTGGTTCAAGTAGTAAAAGAAATGGCCAAGGAGTTTGGAAAATATACAAATAACATGAAAATTCACCGATCTCGACTTGGTTCACAGTGGCTTTAATGGGAAGGCATAAACGAAATGAGCTTACACGTATTTCTTGCTGGGTCCCAGTGGCTCACACCTGTAACCCTACCTATCCAGGAGGCTGAGATCCAGAGAACTGTGGATCAAAGCTAGCTCAGGCCAGGAACGTGTGTGAGACTCCATCTTCAAAGTGGCCAACCAAAAGTGGGGCTGGAGGCATGACTCAGGTGGTAGAGCACCAGCTGAGCAAGAAAACTGAGAAAAGCAACATACTAATAAAGGCAAACAGAAGCAAGAGACAGGATGTTGAATTCTAGAACCACACGTATTTATACACTGACACAGAGGGACTCAGACACAGGGGTCCCTGAGGGCTGAGTTTGTCCACTATGTTTTCCGTGGAGATCTGGAATTTCATGGGGACTTTTTAGAGGTAGGGCAGACGAGGGAGGGGTGAGCTGCACCTCATGGGAAGGGAGTAATGGGGGGGTCCTGTCCTTAGTTGTGGACCATGGGAGGCAGGAAGCTTTCCTAAGAGTGCAGTGTGCAAAGGGATACTTTGATTGGCAGATGCTAAAGTGGACCAGAAAGGAGGACCGGAGTTACGATGTTGCACATGGGAGGTGGCGGGTCTGCATCAGGTGGGTGACTCCAGAGCTGGACAAGCGCCTGACAGAGAGGAACCGGAGCTGCGAGGTCGCATGCCTTTCCACATAGAGGCTGTGGGTGCGTGTGGATGGGGGTGTCTACGGGTGCGTGTGGATGGGGGTGTCTGCGGGTGCGTGTGGATGAGGGTGGTCTGTGGGTGCGTGTGGATGGGGGGTGTCTGTGGGTGCGTGTGGATGGGGGGTGTCTG